TTGCTACAAGAATGTACTATTTGTATCACTCCTTTTCTAGTTGTGGTGAGCTTTCATTTTGAAAAGGCTGAAGAATAGTTGTGCACAAAGCGCTCAGAAGAGGCTGAGTAAAAAAACATAGGCTGTGGTTTGACATTCAGCTATCACTGTTGGTTTTCTTGTCTGTACTGCTTCCTCTGCCATTTCAGCACTTAGTAAATTGATACGGAGGATATTCCTGGATGAAAACTATCTTAGAAATAAGAAATTTTTGGTTTTTTTCATCTAATATTTATATTAGCTGTGGAGACCTGTTAAGGATATTATCAAGTGGCGGTTGGTAGCTCACAGGGGCCCACAGTCACAGCCTGTCCTCTGTCCCAAGAGGATCTGATCTGCAGCCAACAGTTATGAAACTCAGCATATCCCATCTCAACCATGTTTGAGTTTAGCCCAGAGAAGTTGCAGAGACCCATAAGCCTAATGTAATCATGCTTTCAAAGATTTGGAAAGCATTTGTTTCATATCACAGCGTTACAGCCTGGCATTGGAGCTACCACGTTCTGGTTGTGAGGTTTCTCCTGTCCATACTCAGTAGCAGACCAGCCAGCAAATGTCATGTTGGGAATTGCTAGCAGAGAACAAAACAGAGCATCTCCTTAGACTTGTGAATACATAGTTCACCCGTATCTTCAGTAACTGCTCCACTCACCCCAAAAAGACAGAGACGAATTGGAAAAAATGTAACAAGAATGAATTACAGCCACATCTCCATTTCACAGAAAACAATATACCATTTTCCAAGTGTCTGAAAACCTTGATATGGAAAACACAGGGAAAAATACCTGAGGAAGACATGGAAATGGATAGGGTTGAAAATGTCACAAAATGAAACTACTGTAGTTAACATTGCAATTGAACCACTCTGCTTTTATTTTGAAATATATGACCAAGGTACTGCAATTCATATGGGGTAAATGTTACTGGCAGTTTAAGGTTTCTGGTTTATAATAATGAAGATAATATTCTGTAAATAATTAAATATGTAACTTTCAATTTATTATATTAAATGTGTCTCATACGTACTACCATTTTAAATTTAGAAAATTATATTCTTTTTTCTTCTAGGTTATACCAAACAATTTATCCTCAAGTGGGGAAATGTTAATATATTTCAGAATTGTTCTGCATTGTATCCAGGACGATTTTTTAAAAAAATGGAATGTGCAGGCAAGCATCAGTTTTCTTACTATAATCTCTCTATCATCAAACTTACAGTTTAGAAGTCAGACATAATGGCTGGGAATCTTCTAGACTTGGGAAAGACAAAAAACAATTACCACAGTATCACTACTGGCAAAATGCTACAGCATCCACCATTATATACATATTTATAAACAGAGTTCAGATGACAGTGTGCCAAGTTTCTATAATTATGTGGACAAATTTCTGCATGTAATATGAGTTGTGTTTTCTAGACATACAAGCACTTTACAGTGCACTGACCTTCCCACCTTTACTACATTTGATTCTGATTCAGCAACATATTTAAGCAAATGCCTGTTCTAGAGCACATTAGTAGCCCCATTGACTAGAATATAATTATTCATCTGCTTAGACATTTGCCACTAACACACTGTACCCTGGGAAAATATGATTAACTTTTCAAACTTAGATTAGTCTGGCCAGGAAACTAGTTGTCACTCCTAGTATTAAAACGAGGATTTTGAATACACATTTTTTGCTTCTCAAATAACGAAAGGTATTGCCAAATACATGACTCAAAGAGCAATGAGCATTCAACTTACAGGGCAGATAGTTTCAAATGTTTGTCAAATCGAAAAGTAAAGGCAATATTTAAACAAACTCCTTAACAAGAAAATGAAAACCACATATAAAAGCCAAATTATTTATGATAAATTCAGCATGACACCTGTAAGATACTGGGTTTATTTACTGTGCAAGTTCTGTAACTTATCTTCTTTTTCTTCAATGTATTTCAAGTGATCATCCTTTACCAGGAGGTGACAAAGGCAGTATCACATGGGAGAAATTCAGAACAGGGGTACCTGGCATTACCTTTCCCTCCCTGATGCAAATACAAACTTTGAAATTAAGGCCTAGTATCCACAGTGGTTAGTTATACAAGCAAATATTAATTAAACTGAATAAAGGCAGTAAAACCTTGTTTCATAGGATCAGTAATCCCAACTCTGTCACATAACTCTTTCTCAATAATGTAGAGATTCAAGAAAGAGGTTACATTTTTAAAAACTTGGAGACTCATGCTTGGTATGGGCTCCTTCATACTAGGACAGCATACCAAACAGAAAAGTGTCATAAGGGAGTTAGAAATTAATAAACTTTTACTGAGTATATAGGAAAGATCATATTCTAGCTCTGTAGCAGCATTTCTGTTTATATCACATCTTTTACGCTTATTCATTTTTTCACAAGCACTGTATTTGCTGAATTGCAAACAAGTAGGTTTGTGAACACTGAAACATAAGGAGCACTGAATCCTACACACTTGTGCCTCAGTGCTGCTGTCTGGTGCTGCAAAAGGTCCATGCTGAGACCAAGATCTCACAGTGAGGGCACTGTATTACAGGCAGCTGCTCTCTCCCTCCCTTCCCAGATTCATGCACTCTCCTTCTCCTTCTTGTACCTGCTCACCTATTTTCATAAAGCTGGTAAATAAAATAAATGTGCAGATGAAACAGGACAATGAATGACTGAGTAGAGAGGACACCAAAGGCAGACACAGAGGTCTACACATATTACGATATCTTCATTTCCACAGGAATCAACCTACAAATCTTTTTACCTTTTCCCTCCAGCTTTTGGTCCATTTTTATGGGCTACTTATTATGACACAATAGGCAATGTGGCTGAATTCTTCTCTTTGGCACGGGGTGAAACAAGACTCACATGACTGACAACAAAGCAAATGAGGAGAATTTGGTCCGGCCACAAATGTAAAGAGACATCCAGCACTTAAAAAGAAATAAGAAATAATAGACTGAAGAGGTTCAGAACCTCCTTTACTGGTGACCATTAGGCAAATATCTGTCAGGAAGTGACATGCACCTGAAAATTCTCCTGAGCTCTGCTTTGTGCTCTAGCTTGTATATGAACTTATTTTTGCTTTATATTTCCTCTTTTGCTTCAGGTACTTATGATGGCTCCACAGACAGCTGCAAAGGTGATTCAGGAGGACCCTTGGTCTGTTATGATGCAGAAAATGTGGCATATGTCTGGGGTATTGTGAGTTGGGGTGAGAACTGTGGGGAGGCTGGTCACCCTGGCGTGTATACAAAGGTTGCCAGCTATTATGACTGGATTAGCCACCATGTGACACGGAGTCTCATTGCACGGTACAATATCTGAGCTTATATTCAATACTTCCTTCATATCACCCATGCAAAACCAAACACCAGTACTTTTTCACGATCAGCAGTCATGTAACTTAGCAACAATTACTACAAATCTTTAAAGAATATATTTTGAAAATTCTTTACTGTCTATGAATAGCATAATTTTGCAGAGCCCGTAGGAAGAGAATTCTACAGACACAAGTCCACAGCAAAAGTCTCTAATAAAGAAGGATATTAAAATATCTTTTTCTTGTTGTTATTTTGGGTTCTTTTCCACTTTTCACATTGCATTTCAATTGCCATTGTTTAATTAGCTAAAACTGACCATACTGGAAGCAGTGGTTGGAAAATGAGTGCACTGACCTTATGTGAACTTACAGAAAGGACAGCAACCAGCGTACTTTAAAGGTCTTACATCATACTGATGTCTAAGTCACTAGAAACCTTCTGCCTTGCTTGGAAGATTCTTTAGGCTTATTGTGGAAGTAGACTTCAGACCATCTATTAATCAAGAGATTGACTGTGACCATGGGATTTGCTGTAATGCAACAATTACTCAAATAATAAGTCTGCTTAGTGGTAGTTTTTTTCATCTACTGACTCAGACAATTTATATCTAGTTAATATGTATCATCTGATCATCTAGCTTGGGGCACTTTTGTAGCTCTGAGTTTTATTAATTTAACAGCTGGTCACAAAAAACAGAAGAATTTTAAAACTTAAATCTTCAACTTAAATAAAAAGCATCTTTACTATCTTAAGTTCTCTGTGTATGTGTGTGTGTGTATATATATATATATATATATATATCAGGTATGCAACAAAGTCTTAACACCAAATAGTTTTACTCTGTGTGTATATATATATATTTATAAACACACTCACATTTTATATAATATAAATATATAAAAAGTCAATATATTATATAGAATTAATTCTACAAAAGCAAGTTACAGATTTAAGTTAAAATCTTTGCTGTCATAAGGAAAATGTCAGTCTATACATAATACCCTCATAACCAGGAAGAGTTCTATACAGAAAGTGTGCAAAAGATTTTTAAAGTATTAGAATTTGATTTATGGATTGGTATCCTTGACACAGAACTCAAATAGCTCCAGGACTATCTCAGCCAGTTGTATGAAACTGTTCAATAGTTTTAGAACATTCCTCACTGTATTCTAATTACAAATACTTTTAATATTTATTTTACTTTATTCCACTCCATTAATTATCCTGTTGAATTAATGGCATATGTTCACACAACACAGTTGTTCTGGTGGTGTTTTTTCTATAATTCAGCACAATCAGACAACGTTTTTACATTTTCGCTGACTTTTCTTCATCTTCCAGTCTTGTAAAAACCCCACATCAGCATGAATTTGTCACATAAAGGCACTGTCAATCATCAATAACTAAAGTAAGGGTATTAATTGATTCTCTTCATACACACACACCCACACACACACCCTCAACAAGGTTTCCTGTTTAGAAAAGCATTTAAGTATATTCCTACACGGGAATTGTTTTATTGAATCAGGGTCTTGGTAAAGTAATCATAGGAAAAACCTGGACAGGTGTACAAAGAGCTCCCTCTTTTGTTTGACTTAACTAATTTCTGCAAAGAACTTTTTTGACCAATATCTTCAGTTAACAACAAATAATATTAAATGTTGAGGCTGAAAATAATAAAAAAACCAACAAATAGAATATGTATCCTTATACTCTGCCTGTTGATCTGAAAGTCTCTTGGTTTTCTTCCCATTTCCTCTTCTTTTTCACATTTAACTTTTGGCCAAATATTACTATTTTCTGAGGTCTTCCACACATCTTAAATCAGAGTTTCCATGGTTCCACTTCAGCGCATCTGTGAAGCATCTGGAATTAAAATATAAAATTAATTAAAAAGAAATCCTCAAAACCAAACGGGATGTTCGGCAAGCAAGTTCATTTTAGTCTGGTTGTTTTTTTTTCAGCAAATCAAGACTGGACTTTTAATGTTTAACAGATATACTTTCATTTTGCTCTGTTTTACAACCCCATCTTGCACTCTTGATGATGATGTTACCAGAAACTGAATCACTTGCATGTGGAAATGTCACCAGATCAGTTTCCTCCACATTTAACGTCATCATAAACTTGGGTTAAAATTTTAACATTTCAAGCACATAGTCTTCAAAGCCTTTTTTCTTTTTTTTTTTCTTCCCAAAGGGTCATGTTTTTCTAGCTGCTCTAATCCAAGTTCTCCCCGTGAGTACACAGAGGGACAGCAGTATGTGGGTCTAGGCACGCTGCTGCCAGAGGCAGCATTTGCTCCAAGCCCCAGCGTGGCTGGCACAAAACTTCCCTTCGACCCTACGCATGCAGGGTCCCGAAGGCTGGCTCGAAAATCAGCCTTTCACAGAATCACAGAATCAACCAGGTTGGAAAAGACCTCTGAGATCATCGAGTCCAACCTATGACCGAACACCACCTTTGTCAACAAGGCCATAGCACTAATATGCCCAGTCTATCCTTAAACACCTCCAGGGACAGTGACTCCAACACCTCCCCGAGCAGCCCATTCCAATGTCTGATCACCCTTTCAGTGAAGAAATTCTCCCTGTGTCCAACATAAACCTCCCCTGGTGCAGCTTGAGGCCATTTCCTCTTGACCTGCCACTGGCTGTCTGGAAGAAGAGTCAGATCCCCACTTGGCTACAACCTCCTTTCAAGTAGTTGGGAGAGCGATAACACCACCCTTGAGGCTCCTCTTCTCCACCTTTTCTCCAGGCTAAACACCCCCAGCTCCCTCAGCTGCTCCTCGTAAGACTAATGCTCCAGTCCCTTCACCAGCTTCGTTGCCCTTCTCTGGACGACTCTTGTTGTCTCTTTCACACTGAGCAAAGCCAAGTCCTCTACTTCTAACACAGTCATCAAATAAAGGTTTTCCCAAATAGCAGACTCCCGCGGTTCCCTACTGCCGGATCGCACCGATACCTCCCAGGGCCCTGCTCAGCCAGCGCCACGGTACCATACAAGCGCATCCAGCCGCCTGCCCCTGGACAGCTTTGGAAAAGCTCCCCGCACTGCACACAGGCCACCCTAACCTAACCCCCATGAAGCATCCGACACTTCAGCGGGGCGGGCGCTCGGCCGGCACCTCCTCCTGCCCTGGGAGGGCGGATGAGGGAAGGCCCGCCCCACGGGCGGTGCCTGTGGGACGGTGGCGGCAGTGGCGGCGATGGCGGCGGTGGCGCCGGGCCGGGCCGGGCGGGCGGCGGAGGCGCCGTAGCGGGCGGGCGGGCGGCGGGGCGCGGCTCGGCATGGCCTGCGCCCTGCTGCTGCCGGGGCCGCCGCTCCTGCTGCTCCTGCTGGTGGCGGGCTGTGCCGTGCGGCCGGCGCGGGGCCAGGAGGCGCCGCAGACCCCCGACTGGAGGATGACGCTGAAGACCATCCGCAACGGGGTGCACAAGATCGACATGTACCTCAACGCGGCCCTCGACCTGCTGGGCGGCGAGGACGGGCTCTGCCAGTATAAGTGCAGCGACGGTGAGCGGATGGGAAGGGGGAGAGAGAGAGAGAGACCCCGCCGGCGACCCTTGTCCCCGGTCGGAGCGGCCGGGGCTGCGGGGATGGGGCGGCCGCGCTCCCGCCGGCCCCGAGCGCCGCTCCCAGGGGAAGCCTCGCCAGCAAGTTCTTACCGGTGTCTGTATGTATAAATATCCTCAGCAAACAAGTTCTTACGCCTGTGTATATGTTTTAATACATGCGTAACATGTATATAAACATATATAGGCGTAAGCAGTGCTCTCGGTGTGACTTTTTAAATAGCGACGTTTGCGTTTGACAAACTGTCAAATCTGTAGCTGATGTGTAGAGTAAAAAAAACCCTGGAGTGGAAAGAATTGCTCCCTCCAAGGGTTATTTACGAACACTCCTGAGCATTTCAGAACAGAAAAGCCTGACTCTGAGCTGTGGAATATGTTGTTTCAGAGTCACGTTTAAATAACAGCTTTTAATGGCAGCCACGTTTGCCGGCGGAAGGAATGCAGCCTGCTGTTTGTAAATCTTGCTGCTACCAGCAGAGGACATCTGTGCTTCTTCCCTGCGTTTTAGCTGCCTAATTTGCCTAAAATCTAATTGAGGCAGCTCAAGTTGGCATGACCTGATAGATTATTATATAGGATATTACACTATTATTATATGAGACTATTATTATTAGGATAACCCTGCTTGAGCAGAGAGGTTGGACCAGATCACCCACTGTGGTCCCTTCCAACCTGACCTCTGTGATTCTGTGATAAACTGCCTGAAAGTGGCTCCCCACCCATCCTGTCCCAAGGCCAGGTGGGCAATGCTCCAGAAAGGGGGTTTCTTGCCAGGCTTTTCACTGGTGCTCTCGAAACGGGAGGCTCACCGTAACCTGTGTCCATGGAATTGCTCACCCCCATTTTACTGTGTTGGATTTAAGTCAGGAAATGAGTTTGGTGGTGGCACCCTGGTTGGCTCCACAAGAGTGGCCAGGACACTGTGACATTTCCTTGCTGTACTAGAATATGCACCTTTCAAATGTGTTTTGTCTTCTCCATCACTTTTAATTGTGGCCTCAGTTTGTTTCCAATACCAAAACAAGTTGGAGGGTCATTTTTCAAATTAACACTTTTCCTTAACTTGCAATGCAGAATTCCTTGGCTTGCTGTACTAATGAGTATTCAGGGAGCTGGGACTTTAGCAGGCTCTACTAATTTAAATTGTATTAAGATTACAGCTGTAGAAATAAAAATGTTTTGTTCCAGTTAATTTTAAAGGTTAAGCTAAAAAAATCAGCACTACTGTTGATTGCATATAAAACATAGAAGTATTAATGCACTTGCAATTAAGTACTTTGTACTTAAATATAATCCTACATATTGCATATTTAACTGACACAGCAATTTTAGTAACTTAAGCTCTTCCTCTTTTTTTTCTTTTTAACTTTTGAAGCTAACATTGACACTTGCTCAGGTGACATTGAAACTTGCTCAGGTGACTTGTCCCCCTTTTTTAAAAAAATTGCTTACTACCCCAAAGTTGTAATTTGGAAAGGATTGTTGATATGTAGCTGCCTAACTATATGTTTAAGTTAAAAATATGAGTGATGCTGTCTTAAGCCCTACAAATGCCTGTGGTGAGTTTTAACAGTACAAAAATTACATGCAAAAAGTCTATTTGAGGCATGATAAATTACCTTTTTCAGGATCAAGGCCCGTTCCTCGCTATGGATATAAACCATCACCACCAAATGGCTGTGGATCCCCTCTATTTGGAGTTCAGGTAGATATTTCCATGTTTGGACTTGTCTTTTATACATCAACTTTCCTCAATGTAGATGATTTTTTCCCTCCCCCATTCCAAGAATGAGACAGCATCCATATACAATGTCCCTACTCTTATCAGCTCCAACACATGCTCTGGTAACAACAGATGGAAAATGTTAGCATTGTAAAAGAACATAGTGTAAACATTTTCAAATATTATAAGCATAAAACGTAACATTGATGATTAATTTTTCAGGTTTTGATGTTTGATTTAGTGTTTTGTTCACACAGTCTTGAAAGCGTTGAATAACTGCAACTGTGAGAGTCAAGGGTTTGGCTCTGACTCTCGCTGTCCTTACTGACACTAATCCTTTTTCCTTAATGCTAGAAAGAAAATATGAGTTAGCTCATTTGCCTGCTTTTGGCTGGGATAGAGCTAATTTTCTTCTTCATAGCTGGTGTAGTGTTGGGTTGCAGGTTCAGTATGAGAATAGTGTTGATAAAACACTGATGTTTTTGGCTGTTGCTCAGTAGTTCTTACCCTAAGCCAAGGACTTTCCAGTTTCCCATTCTCTGGCAGTGAGGAGGTGCACAAAAAGCTGGGAGGGAGCACAGCCAGGACACCTGACCTGAACTGGCCAGGGACATATTTCACGATAGAACATGATGCTCTGTATATAAACTGGGGGAAGTTGGCCAGGAGGGGCTGATTGCTGCTTGGGGACAGGCTGGGCACCGGTCAGGGAGTGGTAAGCAACTGTATGGTGCATCACTTGTCTGTCTTGGGTTTTGTTTCTCTTTCTCCTTTTCCTCCTCCTCATTATTATTGACTATATTTTACTTTGTTTCAATTATTAAACTCTCCTTATCTCAACCTCTGAGGGTTTTTTTTCTGATTCTCATCTTACTGGGGGCAGTGGGGGAGAGGCAGGAAGAGTGATCAAGCAGCAGCATGGTATTTAGTTGCTAGCTGGAGTTAAACCATAACCCTTGAGTCTGGGTGGGATGGAGTTAACTTTCTTCATAGCAGGCTGCATGGCACTGTGTTTGGGATTTGGGGCTAAAACAGTGTTGATGGTTTTGGCTGTTGCTGAACAATGATTGCACAGCTTTAGGACTTTGTCTTTTCTACCCCACTCTGCTCATCCACCACCCCAGAGCGTAGGCTGGGGCTGGGGAAGAGGTTGGGAGGGGACACAGATGGGACAGCTGACACAAATTGAACAGAGGGATATTCCATACTACATAGTGGTGCTCAGCAATAAAAACTGGAGTAGAATCATAGAATCATAGAATAGATTGGGTTGGAAAAGACCTCCAAGATCATCAAGTCCAACCCCTGATCTAACTCCAATTACTATATCATGGCACTAAGGGCCACGTCCAATCTCTTTTTAAAAACCTCTAGGGATGGTGAATCCACCGCCTCTCTGGGTAGGCCGTTCCAATGCCTGATAACCCTCTCTGTAAAGAATTTCTTCCTAACATAGTAGTGAGTAGTGAGAGAAGGTGGGGAGGGGATGGTGGTAAAGCCTACGTATGACTTCAGTGGAGGCTGTTGCTCACAGACTGGCTTGGCATCCTCTCTGCTTGTCAGATGTGGTGAATGATTGCTTTTGCACTACTTATTTTGAGACATCTTTTTCTTCCTTTATTCATCTATTAAAGTGTCTTTATCTCAACCCACACGTTTTCATGCTTTTGCTCTTGCTATTCTCCCCTCCATTCCATGAGGTGGGGAAGGGGGTGAGCAAGCATCTCTCTGGGTGCTTGGCTGCTGACTGGGGTCAAATCACCACACCTTACTAGAGGTGAACAGCAAAATAGATAACTGAATGACAGCTGGATTGGTCACATTAGTTTGTAATTCCTAACTGTTACAGTCCATTCATAAGCTGTATCTTTCTTAACTGGAATACCAGTGGAGTGTGTGTGTGTGTGGATTTTCTTCACAGTTTGACATTGGTATCCCTTCAATGACAAAGTGCTGCAATCAACACGACAGATGCTATGACACTTGTGGCAATAAAAAAAATGATTGTGATGAGCAGTTTCAGTCCTGCCTCTCAAAAATTTGCAGAAATGTGCAGAAAACACTTGGAATCTCAGAGAGTGTCCAGGGTAAGTGTGAAAAACCCCTTTTTTTTTTTTCAGGTTTAACTGAGCTTAATTTGGCAAAGAATCTTTGTGCTGTGCAATAAGGCCACATTTTCATAAGCTGATGCTGTTACTGAAAGACGCCTTGTTCTGTCCCTCTGCTGTGCAGCCCAGACACTTGTACAGCACAGCAAGGACATAGCATAGGAAAATGATCTGGGTTAAATCTAACCTTCAGTTAAGGTTAGTTTTAACTTTAGAGGAAAAAAAAATGCTTCCTGTTTAGAATTAAGAATATGGGCATACAACTCGATCCAATTGCATATATAATTCTTGCATTTACTGTAACATAGCTGAATACTGACTGTTCTGCTGGGTGATTTCTAAACATCTACTACATATGATTGCTAGTAAACTGTAGGAAAATGTGGAATAATTTCCTTTTATGAAATAAGATTTTAGAATAATACCCTGTCATAGTGGATGTAGTTAATGCTGTCCCTTAGTGAATAAATGTTAGGTTTCTTAGTAACAGACGATATGATACTCCTTCTGGTTGTTGGATATATGACAACTACTTTTTAACTTAGACATTGTCACTTTCACAGTATGTAGTCCCACTGAGAGCAGTAAGGCTTTAGAACAAGCTTGTGTTTGAACTGCTCAAATTCATTTAACTGCAAAGAAATCATCACATTAGTCTTTAGTGTCAGAACTGGTGAATATTTGTTCAGTTCTGTTCAGCTGATGTTAAAGATAGCAACCTCTGCGTAAACTGGGATGCA